TTTTTCGTCTTTTTGAGGCTACTCTCTTTTTGCGGTTGAATGTTGCGGGGAAGCCAAAAGGACATCGACCTTTCTCTAGTCCCCTATTTTGTGACAGCATCAGCTCGATGTGCGGAACTCAAAGCTCTGGCGCTCTTCCAGGTGGGGGTTTACAGCCATCAGCTGTACATTATGCATTTGTTATGACCCTTCCGGAGTCCATGGTTTTCGTGGCCAAGAACGTGCCAATGAAATAAAACATTGGACTCGGGTTAGAGAAGTGGGCCGCTTGGTATCACCCACGCTTCGGCTCCGAGATCGATGTCAGCGATGGGAAGCTTCTTGACATTGCCATTGGCAGCTTTCAATGGAGTCGATAGCGTCCTAGGGGTTGATTCCCCATTCTTTTCGACCATCGTTCCAAAAACCGTTTTTCCGCTTTCCCTGGATTTCCGAAGGTTTTCTCAAAAAATGATTCGGATCCCTGGAAGTTAAGAATGGGGTAGGTACCCCTAGCGTCGACGCGAAGGCGCCTGGCTGGGAGCCGCCCGTCGAAGGGGCGGCGTCTTCGCGGCCGGGAGTTGAGAAGTTGACCGCAGGCTTACAGGCATTCGCCTAAGTTGATTGGCGATTGTGCGGCTTCCACAGCGGGTACACATGGGTGTGTGTGTGTGTGTTTTTTAGGGCCTGCCGAACAATTTGTTTTCTTTTTTTTTCTTTTTCGTGTGTTTTTGTTCCTCTTGGTTTCCCTTCAAACCCACCAAGGGGTTGTCTTCAAGGGGCCGCACTGGAATTGCAAAGCGCTTTCACCTCCTTCAGAATTGAAGGAACCTCTCACGGGGCAGTCCGATGGAGCCTCCAAGAGGCACAGGCTGGCAACGCCTATCCCAGAAAATCCTGGGTCGGCCTCCGAGCCCAAGTTGCAATAGGCCGTGCAGTTCTCATAGACCCATCGGCTCATTGGTGCATGTTGCCAAGGGATCTTGGGACTTTAACTTTTGGCCCACTAATGGGTTTTCCGTATTGGCCACTCAAAGTTATTCACTTTGAGCAGGGGAGCAGAAAGCAAAACCGAGTGCTCTTGGGCCGGGCTAGCAATGTCCAGCCGGATTGCTGGCAGTCAACGCTCCGACTTTTCCGCGAGAGCTTTGCGCGATTTGTGCATCGCGATTTGCAGTTTGGACCCAAGCTGGGCTGTCACAGGCGTCAAAAAGGAGAGTGAGCGCTCGCTACGCCAGACAAACCTTTTTGAGCGCGATGAGAAGGCCCTTTGGCGGGTGCACCCATGCAAGAGTTGCTTCCCATCTGAATGGCTTAAGGAAGCCATGCCGATCTCAGCGAACCGGTTGATTTTTTGGTCGGCCGACTCGGCAACGGCTCTGCCTAGGCCCTTCACAGCCTATGGAAGGCCAAGGCTCGGAGTGGGGGGTTTTGGGAATTCGGAAGGAAGGCCTTTGTTCTCCCACGAATTGAACTCTTTGTTTGGTTCCTGGCTCATCCGGGTCCTTAGCTAGGTTCCCCAGTGCCCTTTTACCCCTTGTTTGGGGGGAGGGTTCTAAAATAGACTACAGAAAAAGTTGGCGCCCTTATTCGAACCTCTCTACTGGAGGACCTAGTTAGGGTTTTTCGCTTTTTCGTGGGTTGAGTGGGGGAGTTTCCATTTCACCCGCTAGTCACTAGTCTAACACTTTTGGTGGGGGATTGGACCGCCCAGTTTCCAGGTCAACGTCAGAGATGAAATAAAACATGTCTTGGTTGTTTTCATGTTCACGCTCCAATTCAAACATGGGATATGGGCATGTTTGCCAGTGAGGCGGCTTTGGATGCTGTTGGGCTTTGGGGTGGTCTGGGTGTTTTCGGAAAGCTTGGCCCGTTTCCACCAAGGCAGCCTACATCCCCCATGGGGTTTGCTGTTCAGACGTCTTTGTGATCAATCGCACTCCTTTGAAGCGGCATTTGTGTGTGTGACTGCTTTTGTGTCAGAACCCCAGCAGGACGGCAGAACAACTAGGGGTAGCTTCCCCAGAAGGAGGGACGCTCCTTTCCAGTGACGATCAAGCACCCTGGGGAAATCCTGGCGTGCTGTAGCTTCAATCTTACCAAGTCCATACCTAGGTCCCCCAGCGGTGCCCTTTTACCAACCTTTTTTTTGGGGAGGGTTCCCCTACTAAACTAGACTACAGAAAAAAATGGTGCCCTTGTTCCAACCTCTCTACCCGAGGACCTAGGTGCTCCGAATTTGTGCAGTAGCAAGCAGCACCTTTGCAGCTCAGAGGCCAGTAGTTTGTAGCTGGAGCTAGCAGGAGCTGCTCCCCGGACCCCGGGAGTTTGTGGGTTGGGCTTCAAGGACAAATGAGCCACGTGCCCAAAACCCGGGTAGAGGAAGGTTAGTAGGGGGCAGTCCCAGCCAGAAATAGTTGCGACCGCCTTCTTAATTCTGTACATGGTTCTGGGTAGACCATGTTAATACCGGGTTGATTGTGACTCAAATGAGTCAACGGCCTGCAACTGCAGCTCAGGCAGCAGGCGACGACTTCTTCAGTGAGGAGAAGGCATGTCTGAAGGGGCGGCGTTTGGCGCATGAACTTGGACGCGAGCAACTGGCTGTGGGTCAAAAATAGGTGCCCAAAATGGAGCCTTGGTAAATGGAAACATGGACTCACACCCGCGGCTTTTCTAGTGGTTGAATTTTGACACACACCCAACTGACAACCATGTTGTACGTCTACAAAACAAAACCGTCTGGGGAGACGCACAAACCGAACACGGACCCGGACTTCCCGCGAGCCCCCGAGGCCTTGGGGAATCGAGAAGGGAAGTCCCAGACCCTTGATCAAATTCTCAGCCCAAAGCGAATCGACCGGATCTGACCTTTCGGTTTTTTAATTTTGGTCCACTTTTAGTAGAGGTGCCAAAAGGTTAGCCTTTTATTTCCAACTCCTTTGGGCAAGTGAGAATTGGGGAGCCTTCCTGTTCAAACAGAAATCCAGAGCGAGTCTCAAATGCATTGTGCGACAACTTTGGGTTACCGAAGCCATAAGCCTTGCGGCTGTCACAAAATGGGCGAGCTTTGGTAGCCTGCTAATTAGACCAATACGGTTGAATTAGAATTAAACTGGCCGTCCCAGAAAGAGCTTTGTATCTCATTTTGTTTAGTGCTGACTACATTTGTGCAATCAAACACGTTTGTCGAACATTTCAGTTTTGGAGAAGTGATGGATTCTCCTTTAACCTTGTCCACACAGAAAAGGAAGGCTTCCCAATTTTACCAACCCTCTGGATTCGTTTGGGAAAGACACGTATTGCCATGCTGTGTGTGTGTGTGTGATGCTTTTGTCTTGCCATGGATTTCATCACCGGGCGTTTGCCTGGCCCGGATTTGAGGCGTGCGGGTTGTGCCAAAGTGTCCACTTTAATAGACGCAATCCTGATCTGAGGTTCGGGCATCATGTCCAGTAGTTTCTGCCTCATTTCTTGACTGCTATTGGGCAACGGGAGGGGGGCGCACTAAATCCTTGAGGGTGAGCACGTGGTGTTGACAATGCTTCATGTCACATTTTGCATGTTGCTGGGTTCCATGTTGCAATGTGCTGAAGCCAGGGTTGCAAGCGCCTCATTCAGAGTCAGGCCCCGTCTTTGGGTTGATGTGGCGGACACATGCAAAGCAAGAACATCTCATGTCGCGCGTGGATCAATTCACCACATGCACGCACGAAGTGACTTGGCTGCCCCAATGCGACCCTGTCACGGTTGCATCATCATTGCTTGGGCAGGAGCTGTGCACCATTGCACGTGCCAGTTGTTTTTTTGTGCGTGCTGAAAACGGCAGGTGTGGGTTACAGTAGGATTCGGTCGAAATTCGCCCAGTGTAAGTCCAAATCATTGCATTGTCGCGTGTATTGAGAAGCTAGGACTGAAGATGTCTTTCTTGTTGTCTGCAGTTGTTTCCCTTTTGCTTGTGCTAGGCGAGAAGCAACCAACAGATCAATTGTCTGCTGAGCATACTGACCCACAAAACAGTACTAGTGGTACCGATGTGTTTCAATTCTATCGAAGCATGAGTAGCTTGCACTGGTTAGTTCTTTTGGGAAACAGGCTTTCACAATGCTGCATTCCCTAGTTCCACAAAGCCGAAGGATGCACCTTACCCCTCTGTGGAAGATTTTGCGGGTTCTCGAAGATCCGGACAGGCACCTCCGGCGGAGGGTGAGGCGCGGGGTCCGACTGGAGCCTTTCCTTGGCGCAAACCCGTCTGAGACGACGGCTGTCGAAATGGCACAGAGTTCGAGGAACATGTGATCAGTGATGTGAGCCAGATGCGTCCTAGATTTTCGGCGTTTACCCGCCCATCCACTAACATGGAGCCTCGCAGCAAGGTCCTGGAAGACGATTTTCCTTTAAAAGAGAGCCTTTAGTGGGCAGAAGGGTAAGCCCGAGTGTGGCCACTTAGATGAGATCTGCGCGCGAGCCATTCTGGCTCTGATCGTGGCGTATCAAATTTGACGCGGCAATCAAGCCTCTCAAGCATATCTTGCGAGAAGAAGAGTGTGAGGCATGGCAGCTGTATGGAATCGGAATTTGGAGTCCGACAGCTTGAGGCATTTGAGGTGGCCGTTGAATTCAGGGGCATTTGACATCTTGATTTGTGCCCCAGATTGTGGGTGCTGACATTCGACTTGTTTTCTCCGAGGGTATCGATCCCCTTGTTTGGCCAAGTATACAATACATGTATATATATATATATAGATATTATTTTTTCACAGACCCACATGGCCGTGGTCAAAACCAATGGTACCATTTTGGGGTAGGTGAATTCACCACCCATTCTAGTCTACTTTAGTGAGGATTGGGATGTGTACTGGGGGCACGGGATTTTGACCCATGGCCAAATATACCGCACAGACCCACATGGTTATGGGTTTGGACCACCAGGATTCCGCGAGTTTTAAATCCATGTTTCCATTTACCAGGTTCCGTTTTGGGTACCCACTTTTGACTCACAGACCCACGTGGCTATGCGTGAACCTCGGGTGCAACATTGTTGAATTTGCACGTCGTCGATGGAGTATGGCTCCGACCTGGCGGGGTGCTTGCGGAAACACCTGCAGCACGTGGTGCAAAGGGACCTGGCATCATGGCTCAAGCGGCCGTTCGGTTTTTGCCAATTTGAAGGTTCTGCATTTCCCGTTTTCACTGGCAAGCATTTCGTTTCTTTATTATTACTATTTTTACTATTATTATTACAATAAATATATATATATATATATAAAACAAAAACAAAAAAACAATCAATCTATTAATAATTATATCCTATTTTTTTATTGAAAGGGAGGGGTTGCCTTTGTTCTTCCAGTCTTCAGCCAAGCGCCCTCGAAGCCTTGCATCTTTTCTCTTTTTTTTCTCGGAGCTGAGCCGAGGTGGAATGGGAGACGGGGCAATGGCAGGTGGAGGTCGTCCATGAAGACCGCACCGCCACGCTGCGCCGGCTGGGCTCGACTCACGCGTGCCGTGGCGATGGGTGGTCATGAACCACACACTTCCCGAGGTCCTTGACTTTAAAGCTGTTTGGGTTTGGACCATTTTAGCGGTAAGCAAAAAGTATAGACTTTTCCTGGCCAAGCCACTCAGGAAGTGAGACCACTTAGGGCTTATCCCTGTATCAGTTCTACAGGGGGATATAAGACCCCGTCAAAGTGCCCGGGCAGATTTAGATGAACATTTCATGTTTATAGTCTGTTTAGCAAATCAGCTGATCAAATTCCTGCCGATCAAATTCTTGCTGATCAAATTCTTGCAGCAACCACTTCGTGTGTGTGTGTGTGTCTTTTGGGGGTATGCACCTTTAAAAGGAAACCCAAAAGAGCACCGACTATGTTGGGGAGTCCACAATTTCGACACATGCCCATGTGGGTTGCCAGACGTGGGGGTCTCCTTTTGGCACCTTTTTTGTGCCGCCCGTTTTTTGTTTTGCAACGGGCACCCCCTCCAATTCGGACAGGAAGCCGGAAAGCAAACCAATTTGGAGGGGACACCTGCAAACCAAACAGATGTGAAAGGTTCACCTGATATCGTTCAAGCCCGGGGGACTGCTTAGGCAAACTGAAGCAAGACGGACTCCAAGCAAGCACATCAGACACAGGGCTCCTTAAAAGAAATTCATTTTGCCAATTTGAATCATGGCTTTTTCCACCAAAATACAGGGACACCACCATTTGCAAGGCAATGTTCAGATGTTTCATGTGAGGATCTCCGAGACACCAGCCATTTCGCAGTTCTTCAGTGACCCCCTCAATTCTTTTCTTTTGGTCTTCCCGCCAACCCCCAAACTGAGTTCCATTCCGAGGGGCACCGAACTGGGAACTGGCTGTGGGTCAAAACCAATGGTATCCCATTTTGGGGCAGCTGAATTCACCCGATTTAGTTCATTTTAGTGGTTGGATTGGGATGTTCACTGGTACGCGATTTTGACCCATGGCCAAATGTGTTTCACAGACCCACATGGTTATGGGTTTGGACCACCAGGATTCCGCTACTTTTAAATCCATGTTTCCATTTTAGTGGTTGGATTGAATCGGATGTTCACTCAAAGTGCGAGATTTTGACCCACGACACCCTCAAAGTTGTTTTTGGCCTTCCCGGCAAATCGTGAAGCCCCAAGAGGGTTCCATTCCAGGGTCAAGCTGGGAATTGGCCCGGGCCATTCTGTCGTCGAGCTTCGGTAAGGACGGGCCAATGCCGCGTGTTGCTGCGGGACTGTCGGGTTCTGCGGCCTGAAGGCTGCATGCTGGAAATCCAAAGAGAGCAGAAGGAGATGCCACTGCTCCACTGCGCAGAGGAGTGCAACTTGGAGTCTCGGCGTCTTTTCTTGGTGCCGTTTTAGTCTCTTGTCTTTTTCTTCTTCGGGGCGCCCGGGAAAATGAGCTCACGATGTTGGTCCTTTACTTGGAGATGCCTTAATTCAGGTTTTGCCATTCTCTTGATGGTTGGGATAGGAAGCCACCAATCAGGGGAAAGCTGACATGGGAAGGACGCTGACGTGGGGAGTTGATCAAAAGGCCATTTACATGGTATGACCGTTGGGGAAAGCCACTAAGAATATGATAACTGTTCCACTAAAGGTCTTCTGGGGCCGAACGGAATATCCTGCATATTTTACGGCGAGCTTGCCTGGGGGTAAAACGACCCACCATGGTAAAGATCCTTTACTTGTGGATCCCTTATTTGGGTATGGGTCAAAATTAAACCACCAGCAAACCGCAGGCTTTTCATTTACCAGGGGTTTCATTTTTGGCTTACCCTATGTTCGAAAACCACAGCCATTTCAGGAAAGGGGTGACCAATACAGGACAAAAAGAATCAACAAGCATCCAGGAAAAAACACTTGCAAATATAATTGTTGTGTTTGTACGACTTAGCCGTCGGCCACAACGATTGTTTTCGTATTTCAGGCGCGGAAGATTGATCACCCCCCAGTTTTTTCTCCTAAGGACTGCAGGGGCCGCGTGCGTGTGAACGGCCAGCCTGTGGCCGCGGGGAGGCTGCGGCAGGAGGGCGTACACTACTTGCTGCCAATTGGCCTCAGCCAGCCGGTGCCGGCAAATATGCAGGTGGGAAGCGTTCGCATGGGCTCTCTTAGTTCTCTTCCATTTGCTTAAGCATTTGTTTATTTTATATGCCCATGTTGCTTTTAAAGGGAATCGATGACCTACTTGTTTTTTTCAGGTGGCTTAATATCTGACTTAAGCAAATGGAGGTCTCAGCATCAATTTCTATGATACCAAGGGAACTTGTTTGAGAGTGATAGAGTAGTCATGGAGATGGCCTACTTTGGTATCACAGAAGTGGTTATGTTCCACGACCACGAGAATGGGTCTGTGTCAAAACTGGGGGAGGGATTTGTTGCTTTTCTATTTATTCATTTGTTTGGGGACCTTTTTTTCCTCATATCATGTAACCCCCAATTGGTGATGTGGATTGGTCAGCGGAGAGAAATTCAGACATGCCAGAAAGTGAGACACCCAAATGTCAGACCGTGGATTGGTGGTGGGACTTGAACCCCTGGCTCCAAACCACCAATTGGAGGCAAGCTGAACATGGTTTTTGGATAAGAAAGCACCATGGATTTCAGAGTCTTTTTGTCTTGGGAATGTGACCCAGTTTGCGGCCCCTACATAGATTTGTGAAGATAGGGGGACCTTCCCTTGTGGCAGCCCTCCCTGACTAACGGGCCGCCTGGAGACCGCACAAGCCAACCCATGGAAGATGGGGAAGGCGGGTGGGCATCACTTTCTGCAAGGCAATCCCCCCTAAACATTAGTGATCACGGTGTATGCGAATCAACCGACATATTGGTGCCACAATGCAACTTTTTTGGGTGTGTCTTTTTTCGAGTTGGAACCCCTTTGTTGGCCCTGAGTAGTGCCCTTTTACCATCTTTTTAGTAGGGGAGGGTTCCCCTACTAAAATAGACTGCAGACAAAAGTTGGTACCCTTAAATATTCTATCCTCTCTACTGAAAAACCTAGCCTTGGTTGGGTTGAAAGGAACAAGAATCTAGGGGTTGATTCCTTTCCCATTCTTTGCAACCATCGTTCTTTCCAAAAGCCGTTTTTCCGTTTTCAACCTGGGTTTCAAAGGAGATTTTCTATTCGGATCGGGTTCAGGAAATGGAAATGGAAGGTACCCCTGAACACCGCCTCGGAACTGCCCAGCTCGGCCATTCGAATGACCAGGTGAGAACGCTGACGCTCACTGCCACGGGCATGGACCAAGGATGGGGAAACACCGGGGACTCCGGGCTTTTGGCGACTTGGAGCCATTTATTTTGGAGCATTTTTTTTAAAACCTTGCCCTTAGTTCGGGCAACTGTCTTTGGGGGTTCCCAAAGGAATTTCTTCTACACATCGGGTTTTTGCGGGGGTTCCTGGTCAATGTAGGCAGTATGTGCTTGTCAAGGCGGATTCATGTTCAATGTGGGAAGGTTGCTGGGCTTTCCGAGAATCAAACCAGTTAGTGGAACCGCCAATCTTGGCTTTCAAACATGAGTGGACGTACATGTCCACCAAAGTGTTTCCGATTTATATTGGTATGCAAAGGGACGCCAAAAGGACACCTACCATTTTAGGGGACCCCTTTAATGGGGGCGTTTTTGTTGGTTCCTCGGACCAATATTTCTTCAGGCATCCTTTGGATTTGGATTCCCCTCGGCTTAGGGGACGAATCGGCCCTGGAAGTCGTTGCCAGGGGAAAACCGCCTACCCTTTCCAATAAAAATCAACAACGGCCTTTGACAGAAATGGCTGTGGCTCAAAAAACCGGTACCAAAATGGAACCCTGGTAAGTGGAAACATGGACCAAAACCTGCGTAGCCCCTCCGGTTCAATTTTGAGCCACAGCCAAATACAGTTCCCGTTGTTCTTGTGTGGTGTTTTTCTCATGACCAAAGCACCGGGCTCAATGAAACTTCCATTTGCTGATAATATTTTTTGTTATTTTCCGTGTTGGTTTTAAAGGGAATCGATTTCACTACTGGACACATGTTCTTATTTTTTCCAGGGGTCACCAAGCCCCGGGGCTCAATCAAAGCATGGGGTTGAGGTCTGCCTGGTCCGCCCGAGCGAGCCGGCGGAGCCTCTGGCTGGAGTGGTCTACAACCGCCACCGCTCTGCGCAGCAAGAGCACCAGGCCGTCCGGGGGGCGGATCCAGTGGTCTTTGGTGTTTTCATTTCTGTTTCTTGTCTCTGTTTTTTGGAGGGGGGGAGGGGGAAGGGGGGAGGGGGGGAGGGACACTGTGGTGACTTTCTATTGGTTTTCTCAGTTCTTTGTTTTGGGTGGGGGGGACACCTGGTGGATTCCTTGCCGGGTTGCTCACTTTGACCTCGGGCAATGGGAAACTACTGGAGCTGAGGGGTCTTGACGTCCAGACTTCCAGCCCCTTCCCTGGAAGGTATGGGGGATGTGTGTGTGTGTAGCGCTACGAGGTCCCCCATCTAGGTGCCCTTTCTCTCCCCTTTTTTGGTTGGGAGGGTTCCCCTACTAAAATGGACAACAGAAAAAAGTGGGTACCCTTATTTTCTAACCTCTCCACTGAAAGAGCTCGACTATGTAGCCAGTTGGTTGTTGGCATACCCTTGATGCGTTGTATGGCATGGCTTCCCGCAATGGAAACTGGAAGAACTGGTCCCACCAGGGCATGCGGAAGCTGGATAATGCCAAAGTAGCCACAGGGATGGCCTGCTTTGAGATCGCAGAAAAGGCGCTTTTTTTTATCCACAAGGCTGTCCGTGTTGCTTCCAACCACAGGCATTCCCGGAGGTTTCACCATCAAGATAATTACATCATTTGGATGAGGAACCTCCATGGGACGTGGGTGTTATGTGGGTGTGTCCTTTATAGGGGACCCCCCTCCAAATGGCCTCGGTTTTTCCTTGCGCTTTCCTTGCAACACCAACCAACAAGCGGGGTACCATCAGACCCACTATTCAAAGGGTACCTTCAATTCCGCATTCAATCTTTCTAGAAAACTTCAGGAAACCCAGGTAAAACGGTTGGTTATTGCACAGAACGATGGTTGAAAGAATGGACAAGGAATCCGCCCCTAGAAATGTACCGCCCCCCAGGGTTCGAAAGGTGGCCAGGGGCCTCCCAAGTGTCAGGTGGAGACAGCGCTGGAGAGCGCTGTAGCGCCCTCCGCTGGTGATCGCCTGGAGGCAGATCGTCGACAGTTGGACCCCCAGCTAGGTGCCCTTTCTCACCGTTTCTTTTTTGGTTGGGAGGGTTCCCCTGCTAAGATATTTTCTACAGAAAAAGGTAGGCACCCTTATTCTAACCTTTCTACTGGAGGACCTAGTTCAGGTCTGGCGGGCTCGGTGATGAAACATTGTTTGATTACATCCGACTGGCCATTGTGGTTCAACTGGATTCAGTTCATCCAAAAAAACACCCCAAAATCCATTTCAGAGACATTTCGACATCGATTTCGCCAAACTTCATATTTTGTTACTCTTAGATTCCAAGATTTCAGCCCTTGGGATTTGAAGGCTCCAACATTCCAGGGACCCATCGATGTAACGATCGACGTAACGATCAAAAGCCAGCGATACATCTACTGTCAAAGAGAAGATGCAAGGAAATCGTAGGGAACCCCTCCTATGTGGACACGAGCCGGGTTTTTCTGCTAGCCTCTGTTCGTGTTCATGGTGCTTCCCTCATTCCCCACAAACAGTATTGTGGAGGGGGGGGTTCTCTTTTTGGATTCCCGTTTAAAGAATGGCACGAATGACAAAAAGGCTACCCTTCAAGAAAGATATGCTCTCATCCATGGGGTATGCTGAACCAGGAGGGGAGGGGAGGGGAGGGAGGGAGGGAGGGAGGGGAGGGGAGGGGGGGAGGGGAGGGGGAGGGGGAGGGGAGGGGAGGGCTTGAGACTTGTACAAATGTGGTAGCTTGCGACTGCCCCCAAAAGGAAACATAGTATGACATGAGTTGATACCCGCGTATTGGAAGTGCATCCTCCGATCACAGTGGAAAGTGGCGGTTTTTTCGTTGTTTCCCTGTGTCCTTCACGTGACAGCAGTCAGCCGAGCTTTTGATTTTTTTGGTGTCAAGATCCGTCCCAGGGTAGGCAAACCCGCAACCCCGGCCAGGGGGGGGGCTTGAGGGCTATTTTTAGATTGGCTTCAAGGGCAACCAAAAGGATGTCCCACTGCGGATTTCAGCTTAGGCCCCCCCCCCCGCTGTGTTACGCATCAGGGTTCGCAAATTGCCCGGTACGGATGGGCATCCACTTCGTAGAGTTGTTTCTCAAAACCCTCATGGTGCGTTAAAAGGATAACAAAAACAGGAAAGCCGAAGCCATTTTGGATGGTCCCCCATTTTCAATTAGACACACCCGTATACAGGTCCCGATTGTCAGGTAGCTCTGAATTGTTGGTTTGGATTGGTGGTTTGGGAATTTGAACCCCTGGTTCTTGTGGAGGATACAATGAGTAAGTACACCACCAATCCAAACCATCATCTAGAGGGAAGCTGACACTTGGTGCTTTGGATTGGTTTGGTGCTTAGGGATGGTTTCCCATTTGCCCTCCGCAAGAACTAGGGGTTCAAATCCAAATCGAAACCACCAATCCAAAGCACCAAACCAACAAAACATGCTCCATGTGTTTATTAAAGGGGTCCCCTAAATTGGTTGGTGTCCTTTTGGTGTCCCATTCGAATACCAGCCAAACAGGAGTCCGTTTGGAGAAACTCCCATTGGATATATTCATTTCAATTGGAAGCTCTTTGGTGGACATTTATGTCCTCGCTCAAGTCTGAGGGTGTCCCCCACATAAATCGCTAGGTCCCCCAGTAGTGCCCTTTTTAACCCCTTTTTTGGGGGAGGGTTCTCCTACTAAAATAGACTACCAAAAAAAGCTGGTACCCTTATTCCAACCTCTCAAATCTGGAGGACCTAGGTTTAATAAGGACATGCGCCCCCTCCTGCCCTCCATCGAGGTGCTCCTGCGATGCCCCAACTACCCCGGCTGGAGCGCCGCCCGGCTCCGCAAGCGCAAGCTGGACTCGGGGCCAGTCACGGGGGGGTCCCTCTGGTATTTGCATTGGGTATATATATATATATACATACATGTATATATGGGTATGGGATGGTATGGGTATGGGTCAAAATAGTTAGACAACCAGGTATATATATATATATGGGTATGGGTCAAAATTATTATCAGCAAATGGAAGTCTCATTGAGCCCGGTGCTTTGGTCATGAGAAAAACACCACACAAGAACAAGGGGAACTGTATATGTCTGTGGCTCAAAATTAAACAGGAGGGGCAAACCGCAGGTTTTGGTCCATGTTTCCACTTACCAGGATTCCTTTTTGGTACCGGTTTTTTGAGCCACAGCCATATATATATATATATATATGCGTATAAGTCAAAATAATGAAAAACCAGGGGACCGCAGGTTTGAGGTGCTTGACTGCTCTTGGGCGACGGATCTTTAGACTTTCACTTTTTGGTTGAGATGAAGTTGGGTTTTCCGAACTAAACCCACAAGAAGTGGAACACTTTTGGCAGAGGGGTCAATGGCAACAAAGTATACTTTATGTATATATGGGTATGGGTCAAAATAATGAAAAACCAGGGGACCGCAGGTTTTAGTGCTTGGTTCCATTTGGCAGGCAACCCATTTTATTTTGGGTACATAATTTTGGCCCACAGCCATACGTTCCAGTCTTCCTTGGGCCATTGCCCCCCCCCCATGGTCATCAGTGAGGAAGGGCTAGCACAGTGCGACCGTACAAGCCGCCGCCCATTGTGTGGGATGGGTGGGGGGGTCCATGGTTCCACCCGCCGCTCCCCTGGATGGACCCGTACCATTGGGGGCTGGGGACGACAGGTGACGGGAACATATATATATATACATATATACATACTTGTGTGTGTGTGTGTCTGTGCGTGTGTGTCTTCTTTTGGAGCTAGTACCCATGTTTGGTTTTAAAGGAAAAACCAGCAGGACAACCAAAGCCATGTTGGAAATCAAGTATAGATTGACTGTCGGAAATCAATGAACCGGGCGGAAGAACCTACTAGGGGTGTCCCGAAAAAGGCCCCAAGGACAATCCTGTTTGTGGCATCCTAGAACCCTTTTAGCAAAGCCCATTTCGTGTCACCCAGCAAAATTGAAGAATCTTGGTGGGAATTAAAAACCGACCAGGGCTTTATCAATCCTGGGTTCCCGCCTAGAAGGCTTCCCTGCAGGGCACCACCAGTAAAAAATGATCTACTTTCGGGGACATCCAGCTCCCCACTCCCTCCGAGAGACCCAGCGAAAACGAGGCCTTCTGCCGGAATGTGACTTTGAGTGCGGAGTGCAGCCTGGAGACCGTCCGGGAGCTGCCGTGGAATTTGTCGGAAGACTGGGAGAAGCAGCAGGCGCGCAAGGGAAGTGTGGGGCATGCCTCAAATCCCTCGAGCCAGAAGTAGTTCGTTACTAGTTGCTCGGTTCATCAGGCCTTGAGCTGGTTTGGGCACATCCATCTTTTTGGGTTTGTCGTTCTTTTTAGGAACCGGACCCCACAAAAGAGATTTCGGTGTTCCTTTTGGTTTTTCCTTCACCAAACAGGTGTACCAACTCCAAGAAACAACATGCCCATTTGCCAAAATGGTTCAAGGTCATTTGCCTGCACAGGATTTCCTGGGTCCCGGTGGATAGAAACGGAAGGTTGTGTCATGGGTAGCATTCATTTCGCCGTTTGCGGCATTGCCAGCTCACTCAAAACACGTTCAGCCGCCTAATTCGATGGGGTGGTTCTTGAGTCTTGAGGCTTGTGTGCGCGTTGGTCAAGAATTTGGGGACCCCCTCAAAATGGGTGGTGTTCCTTTGGTTTCCCATTAAAAACCAACCAAACCAGGGGTACCAACTCAAACAAAAACCAGCCCACAGGGACTTGGAGCTTTTCACGGGGATGACAAGGGGACGCACCGATATGTGCACGTTGGGCATGGCTCATTTTGGCAGATTCTCGCATGAATATTGAGACACCTTATGAGTTCGGGGGTTCTCATCTAGGTCCCCCAGTAGTGCCCTTCTCTCCCGTTTTTGGGGGAGGGTTCCCCAACGAAAATTGACTACGGAAAAACATCGGGTGCTCTTATTCTAGCCTTTCAACTGGAGGACTGCCTTGGCAGCGGGTCGAGTCTCAGGATGACATGGTTGATTGGTGCAAAGTTCATGGACAAGCTCGATATGGGGGTTCTCAGATTGGGGCTTGGTGCAGATTGGGTACAAAGTTCTGGTACAAAGTTCAATGCAGATTGGGGCTTCTCAGCAAACTCCAATCTGCGTTCGAAGGAGTGAGCTCTAAGAATCTTCCTAGGAGCCCGCCTTCTTCCGCCTTTGGGCAGCCCTGGGCGATGATGACTTCCTGCGCCTCGGGCAGGGTGTCCCCCGCTTTGGCGAGTTGGCTGTCCCGTTTTGGGGGGGTTGGTGCCCTGTTTTGGGGGTGGGTTTATATGCTTTTGTGTTTCCTCCTTTTGTTTTTGTTGTTGTTGTTTTTTTGGGGGGGTCACCCTATGTTGACAAATACCCATATGGATTGCACTGGTTTTGGTTTGGTTCATTTCAGTGTAGGGGATGCCTTCACTTCAAAAACTCGGCTTCTGATTGGTTTTGGCTCAGGGGTGGTTACGTCGTAGTCCATGGATTCCTTGCTAAAGGTTGTAAGTTGTTTTTACCCTAAAACTCAAAAAGCCTAAGCGTATGGCTGAAACCCCAAGAACAAGATGTTTCAGAGATATTCAGAGTCACAAGTCCCCTACCTCCGCAGGCAATTGCATCGTTTCCATCAAGTGCAGTATATAATATGATGTGTTTGTCATATATAGATATATATATAGATATATATATATATATACACATACACAGGGCTCCTTAAAAGATACATTCTGCAGAATTGAAACATGGCTTTTTCCACCAACATAAAAGGGACACCTCCGTTTACAAGGCAGTGTTCAGGTGTACAATGTAGGGATCCCTGATACATACATGAACTTTCCAGGAAACTAGCATCATGGCGACACGAGGAGTTTCTCGCCGAAGGCCAATGCAGGATGCAAATGGAACATGTCTGGAGCACACCGTACAGTTGGGTCCCTTGTCTTGGTGGCTCCCAGCCATCCGGTTCGTTAGCTTTTTAGATCCTTTTAGTGTTTGTGGTAGTTTCCAAAATTTAACCCACTAAAGTTAGTCACTTTTCGCGGGGGATCAGAAAACGGGCAGCCCAGGAACGTGAATTGCTTTGTGATTTCGTGTGTGGCTCGCAGCAAGTTCTTACCTTGAACACACGGGCCACTCTGAAGTGTCAGCCCTGGCTGCTTCAGTCAGCTCAATCAACGGCACAGGCCCAGTGCCGAGGCCCGGGGAAGCCATGATCTGGGTATGGGTCAAGAGTAAAACACCGGGCAACCGCTGGGTTTTAGCCCAATTTGCCAATTTGCCGGGATTCCCCAAAGATGGTGTTCCCCTACTCACTTCCTGAGTTCATGAACTTAAACTTTTTGGGAAGACCAGGTTAGTGGTAAATCTAGAGTTTGGACTTTTTTGGGGCCATCCACTCAGCAAGTAAGCCTATTTTTGACCAGCCATCTAACAGTTGAGGCAACCAGACCCTGTTCTCTGCTAGCTGGGAGGGAGCAGGGGGTTTGTTGGTTCCAGGCAGCTGGATATGTCCCACTTGTCGCTGGCCGGTCAGCAGAAGCAGCACGTGTGGAAGCCCTTGGCGGAATCTGCGGCTGCGGCTCCTGAGCAAACCAGGCCCCGCCTGGTGCAGCGTCGCTCGGAGGGAGAAGGTTCTGTTTGTGGATTTGGGTGTGTCTCTTGTGGAGTTGGTACCCCTTCTTTATGTGGTTTTCAAGGGAAACCACAGAACCACCATTTTGGTGGGTCGCCTTTAAAAAGACACACCCACTTAAACCCAGGGCCTGGGTTTGAGTCTGGTTGCTCCAAAAGGACCAAGCCTCAAGGGTCCAAATTCGGAGGGTTTGTTTTGGTCTTCCCAGGGTTGACATTCTTTCTACTCAGCTGTTTTCTTTTCCGGAGCAACAGGTGCTGCTGGTGGTGGTGGTGGTGGTGGTGGTGGTGACCTGTTTTTCCCTGCGTCACCTGCGCTATTGGACCATTCTTTGGGCAGGGTGAGGGAGCAGCACAGAATGGCCCTTTATAGGACCATTTTTTGGAAAGCTTTCCAAAACGCAGCTAACTGGGGGCCAGCTAACCAAGCGTTTGGAGGGTTCTGGCTGTGGACATGTTTTTCGGCGCCCCCAATTTTAAGACACAGTATGCCTTGATCTTTCCCGTTTTCGAAAAGGATGATGGTGAACAAGAATGGTGTATCTCCAAATGAGGGAACTGACGGAACTCCTGACATGGTGGTTTGTTTGGTGTGCAATAACACAACCCTTTGGTCTCCAAGAATAGACACACCCTTGCCTCAGAATAAAACCCTCCCCCAAGAACAAAGGATGGCAAACCCTAGGGGGCAAGTCGAATCCCAATTAACTCCCCAGCAAGGGGTCCAGCAAGGATAACATGTAACCCAACAAGTCCTCATTCAGGAATCTCTTTTGGGTGACCCCCTTGGGCGTTTGGTTGTCCGTCTTTTCTTGTATGTCCTAGATTTTAATTATTTATTTATCCATCTTAAAAAAACAAAAAAAAAGAAACATATAAATCTAAAATCGTAGATTATCCGGTTGTTCGTCTGGGATTTTTGGGGCCGGTGTTGTTGTTTTTTTGGTCGGCCAACTGGGTCCCCTCCTTGCCCGCGAAGTGAGGCTTGGCCGCGCTGCGCACCGGGAACCTTGGGGCCAAGGTGCTTCAGCAGAGCCGGAAGCTCCTGCAGACGGGGAGCCCAGCTTTCGGGTGGGTGGGTGGCCCTTTCTGGCCAGGGTTGTGGTTGATCACAAGGGGTTTCTCCAACCACTTCTGTGATACTTTAGGGAATCTCCCCTTTTTTATGAAGAAAATAGGCTTTGGGAAGCCCTTTCTGTGGTATCACAGAAGTGGTCATTCCCCACAGCCCTGTTTCTGGCTCTTTCAGGTGTTTCCGCAAGGTTTCTCTGTTGGAAACCATTTGGCTGGGGCTCAAAAACCGGAATTCCAAAACGGAACCCTGGTAAGTGGAAACATGGACCAAAACCTGCATAACCGCTCCTGTTTAATTTTGAGCCACACCCATTTGGTTTCCCTCTGGTTTCAGCTTGGCGTCCTCTCTGGTTGCAGTTGGCCCATGTTTTGTGCGATAGGAGAAGCAACGAAATGGTTGGTGGACATGAATCCCCCTGCAAATGATGTCCACCATCGGTTACCACGGTTGCCCTTTGATCTCTCTTCAAAACAATCCCCAAAGGAGTTCTCGTTGTTGAACGACCTGGATTGAGGTCAAACATAATTCGATGGATTCCACTGGTTCAGGTTGCATCAGTCCATTTTTGTTCTCATAAATGTGAGGTCAACATGGACGAGTGAAATCCATTGCTTCCACTTAGACACCTAGCTTCAGCGGATGTATCCGCTGTAGCGGGTCTGTGCCGACCGCTTCAAGAAGCTTCACTCGAATAATTGACTAGGTCCCCCAGCTAGGTGCCCTTTTACTCTTTCTTTTTTGCGGGGGAGGGTTCCCGGTGTCTAAAATAGACAAAACCGAAAAGAATCGGGTACCAACTTATTCTAACCTCTCAAATCTGGAGGACCTAGTTGAAGTGGTTCCATTTGCTTCCAGTTGTGTTCCACTCAAAGTGATTCAGCTTGCCCCAAGGAGCCCTTCGAACTCTCCCCAAGGGCGAATGCAACTCGAGAGATTTGCGCCCAGTTGATTGCAACTGGATGTGTCAAAAACTACTTACCTCTTAAAAAACACAACTTTTCAACTTTTTGGGTAACATGGGCTATATGTTTGTAAAAGGTTAACTTTCCCAGGGCTTGGATTTTTAAGGGGTAAGACTAGGGTGTGCCTTTCAAAGAGGAAGCCAAACAAAACAAATGGTGGCTCGCAACTGGCTAGGTCCCCCAGTAGTCCCTTTTTACCAACTTTTTTGGGGGAGGGTTCCCCTACTTTTCATAGACTACAGGAAAAAAGTTGGTACCCTTATTCTAACCCCTCTACTGGAGGACCTAGATGGTGGCTTTCCCTGTGATTTAAAAACGCCTGCCTTTTCTTCCATTTGCTTAGGAATATGTCTAGTTTTCCCTTGTTGGTTTTCAAAGGGAATCTATCACTACTGGACATATTGTTATTTTTCCCCAGAAGGCCATAAGCAAATGGAAGTTGTGCGCAGCCGGGCCCTCTTTCAGGAAGCTCGACGAGGGCACAAGCGTGATGGGGGCCCCAGCCACAGAGGCGGAGAGGCGCGGGAGGAGCGAGTTTTTTTTTTTTTTTGGGTAGAGTTCCCTTCGATCGGATCATGTTTTAAAACCTGGGTGGCTCCCAGCCATCCGGTTCAACTTAGCTTTTTAGATCCTTTTGGTGTTTAGTGGTAGTTTTTTTGATTTTTTACCCACTAAAAGTTAAACTTTTAGCCGGGGATCTGAGGGCAGCCCAGAAACAAAAACACTTGTTCTTTGTTTTAATGCTTGTGTTTGACCAATGGTGCTTGAAGACGCACAGGAGGGACTGCAAGATTAAGACGGGCGGCGGCATCTTGAAACGAAAACAAACATCATTCTGCACGGTGCTATGGCTAGGAATTGCAGCGAACCTCCATTGACCACCCTAAAATGGCCATGATGAGGCAAGGAAGAGGGGAAGTTCGTGTCTGAGGGGGGGTTTTGCTTGGATGGTACTGGAACACCAAAACGGAACCTACCCGGACCCTCACAATTCCACCTAACAAATGGGTGATTGCCCCAAATTATGGGGTGAATTCCCTTTCTAGGTCCCCCAGTAGTGCCCTTTACTCTTTTTGGGGGGGAGGGGTCCCCTGCTAAAATAGACTACCGAAAAAAGGGTGCCCTTATTCTAACCTCTCTACTGGAGGACCTAGCTTTTTTACGGGTCCGGGTATACATTTGGAGGTGACCGACCCAGCTTTGAACAAAGAACCCTTCTCAAAATACCCGCTTTTTGCAGGGTATGTTCGGAAAACCTGGCTTTGGCAAATACCTCTGTTTTTAGTAGAGGGTCGACATACCCCGAAAAAGAGGCGGGTATTTGGAGCTGGCCCAACTGAGGTCCCTTGAGCTCGTCCCTTGAGCCACCCGCGAGATCGGCGCTTCAGGCGGGCCAGGTACGCGGAGCTCGCGGTGCTGGTGCATCAGACCTTCGACCACATCGAGGCCAGGGCATTTTTGTTTGGTCTTCTGGGGGGCTCATTTGAATGTGGGTCAAAAAGACCCAACATGGCACCCTGGTAAATGGAAACAATGACAAAAACCTGTGGTTTTGCTGGTGGGTTGATTTGACCCATACTTATTTGGGTGTGGCTCAGAATATCAAGAGCTGGGGTTAGGAATGTTTTGGTCTTTGTTTCTATTCAAGAGGCCAGACAATGGGTTCCACTTTTTTGAGCCACAGCCATTTAACAAGAAGAGAAGATGACATGGGGCTCCATCGAGAAAGCGGAAATGGAAGGGGTCCAGTCCCATGATGGAAAGATGAAAGGACCCCTTGAAAGTTATTTGGGAGAACGAAGGGAGAGTCATTTGTGGTTTGGTGAAACAAGTCCTAAAACTGCCAACATTTTTTTGGGAGCACGTTAGGTCCCCAGTCGATTCGGAAACACCGAGGCTTGCAAGGACCAAGATGCCTTGGAGGCTGTTCTGCAGCAGTACGCGGACTGCGTGGATGATTGCACCTCAAAAAAAGGGGCGGGGGGGGGGGAGCAAGGGGGAAGTTTCCATGTTTGTTAGGTGTTTCCGTTTTGTTTGGGGAAACATGGGGAAAGGTGTAAAACATTACCATTTGTTCCCCATGTTTAAGCATCACCTTTTTCCCCAACAGCTGAAAGCTTTGGGGTCTCAGCCCAGATAGGGTGCGGGGTGGTCCGGGGCGGTTCTGAGGTAAGGTTCCACGAGGGTTCCACCAGGGTTCCACCAGGGTTCCACCAGGGTTCCACTAGGGTTTCCACGAGGTTCTGCGAGGGCTGCGGGGTGGTGCGACCACTAAAAAGAGCACCGCATGCTGGTGGGGATATCACCAGAGCTTATTGTTTACTGTTTTAGATGAGTTTCCTTTGCTTAAGATGATGATTCCAGGAACCCGAGTTTGAGCCGTCTGCGGGACAAATTGGCAGACAAGCGATGTGGGGATGGCGAGCCAGAAACACCGGTAGTCTGTCATCAGGTCATCTCTTAGTTGTTTGAAACGGTTGGTTTTATGTGTGCAGCAGTTTTCAATCATTCTACGGGGAGCTTCCCCATTCTTTCCAGAGATCCTTCTTTTCAGGAAACCCTCAAACACTCAGGAAACAACCTGTCTGTGAACAGGACTATGATTGAAAAGAATGGGGGGAATCAACCCCTAGAATCATGAATCAAAGGTTTTGTACAAAAAGGGAGCTGGACGTAGTCTGCGGAGGCAATCCTGCTTGGGTGCGTAGGTGTGCGAATGCTGTAGGCTTCTCGTGTAATTAGGCATTTCTTGAGCGAAGCATCGATGCTAATTGCCAAGTATCGAATCGGCTTCCGTCGCCTTCAGTCTTCACGTAGGCTCCACGCAGGTCCTGTGGCAGAAAGCGCGGGCTTTCTGACTGCGCTGTCAATGGCAGTGAGTCAAATTGTTCAGAAAAAAAGGCGCGATGGGCAGAAACAAGTTGGTTTAACTTCAAGATATGTCCTCCAATCAGCCCTTCAGAGGGCTGACTCTTCTTGTTTCACTCCAACCCCCCACACGTCCCCGGCCGCCCAGCTCCTTCCGGCAAAAGGGGGGCGGCTGGGGGGCGGCTGGGGGGGCTGCCGCTTGGATCGAGGCATCTACCGCTGGGAGCGCGAGATCTGCAACATGCACGACTTGGTCACGGGAGAGACCTGCGGCGACGACGCCCTGGATGCGGAGGAGCTGCAAGTAGAAAGCCTGATGGGGGGGGACTTTGTTGAGCCATTCACACACTCTTTTTTTTGATGGGGGAGGGGGGGGAATTTGTCGAGTCATTCACCTTCTGGGCCGCTGTTTTGAAGGGAAACCAAAAGGAGGGCGGTTGCACCAAGTTTGAACAAGGGTTGACCCAAACCTGGTGCCTTTATGGGAATCCTTCGGGCTGACTTGTCCTTTCCCACCTGAGTTTATTGCCTTGCATGGCTTCGGGATTGCTTTATCTGGCAGTGCTAAATAGCACATAACTGGCGTATTTTCCCTGAAGGACATCGCAAGGGGATGTAGTATTCGGCCCATGGCTGTAGCTACCACTCGAAAATCAATGGCAAACAGTTCCTGTAACTCTCTTGAACTTTCCAGGTTGAACTGCTGAAGTGATCCAGAATTTTCCAGATTTCCTTCTTTGGCGGCTTGGGACATCACGCTTTCTTGGGCCAGATTATGAGGAGCTTCCTTGCCGTCTGCGACTCCCAAAGCGGGGGTTCTTGAAGACGCGCATGCGAGTGTGTCCTTTCTTTTGGGGCTCATTGTAGCTGACGGTGTCACACGGACGAGGCTCACCGAAAGGAAAGGAAAGGGCCCATTATACCCTGTTGGTTGGGAAACTGGAAATCCAACAGAAAACCCACCCATCACTTTATGGGGGGAGTGCGTTTTGAGCCAAACCCACGGCTCGCGTGACCGACGCCCCCCCCCCCCCCTTTAGGACGCAGTGCTGCGGGTGCTTTTCCGGAAGAGGCGGCAGATGGCGGAGGGTTTGCTGCACCAGATCAAGGCGGGAATCCCGGGTTTGGTATTTGTACTAGGTCCCCCAGTAGTGCCCTTTTACTTTCATAAGTAAAATAGACAAACCAGAAAAAAGTTGGTAGCCTTATTCTAACCTCTCAAATCTGGAGGACCTAATGTAGCTCACTCCCGAGCGAAATCAGCCTCTGATCTTTTGGTTTCTCCTGTTCTTTTTGGTAACCATTTTTAGTTGCCCCAAAAGTTCACCTTTCCCAGGTCCTTGGGGCAGATCAGGTAGGTTCAGCTCGGTTTTTGACTTCAGTCTTGACCCACTGGAATAGAAAGGAAAGGGAAACCAAAGGGAACCAGAAGTCCATGGGCTGCTGTTACCCTCCCAAAGCTGAGGTCAAGAAGACTGAACTGATGCACCGGGAGGGGATGGCTGGGTTGTTCAACATGCGCAAGATCCGTATGGATGATGGCAACGGTTTCCCCCTATTCGTGGTGTCCTCAATGGGCAACATGGTATGTCTCAAAATGTGGTGCGGGGTGCACCAAATGGTGAGCTGTGTTGATGTCCCGACGAAACCGATCTGAAAGTGGTTGCCAATGTAAAGTGAGATTCCTCTTGGCTGCTGTTGGCTTGCCATTGGCCTTTGGGTGGGCTTCAGGGTCTGTGTCTGTGTGTGTTTGTTGTGTCCTTTTTGGGGGTGGTTCAAAAAGGAATCAAGGAAAACCACAATTTTGAATTCTACACCCATTTCGAGTTTGGGGGTGCTCAAATCTCAAGATGCTGCCAGTGAGCCCAGCGCGGAGGGTAAGTGGAAACACCGGTGCACCATGCTTGGTCCTTCTACTTCCTTGCACCGTGCTTGGTCCTTCTACTTCCTTGTTTGGGGTTCGCTTTGTACATCGCTTTGTGGGCCAATGTTGTCTCAGCTTCCCCACCCTCAAAACGCCGGCGCTTGCCCCTTTAAATCTCTCCTTTGGGCGGTCAGTCGCCCTCTCGCCGAAGCCGAGAAACAAAAGAAGCGGCGCAGGGCGCCACGGAGACGGCGGACATGCACTTCGAGAGCCACTTCTTCGCCTCCGCGCCCCGGGATTTCCGGCGACGTCTTCGGCAGTTTTTCGCTCGGGGGCGGATGGCCCGATGAGCTCACTTGGCTGTGGGTCAAAACCAATGGTACCATTTTGGGGTAGGTACACCCCCCAATTTTCTATATATTTTAGTGGGGATTGGGATCTTCAGTGGGGGTACGATTTGGATTTTGACCCATGGCCACTTATGCAAATCGAGTGGACCTCTGACCCATTCCAGCTTTGCCGTTGGTGGTTTTTGTGCTTTTTCGTGGTTTTGAGGGGGGCGGATTTGCCTCCCATTGGTTGGAGCCGAATCGGTCCCAGCCGCCAATCCAAATTTCTTGGGGGTAACTTAAGAAATTTGAACCAACGAAGAGGCGTTCCTCCAAGGTGTTTCTTTTTGTTTTCCGGTTCAAAATGTTGTTGTTGCCTTTCTGGTTGTTGCCTTTCTGGTACAATTTGAACTCTAGTTGTTGCCTTTCTGGTCCAGGTCTTTCTTTTGGTTTTCCGCGGGGGGCGCGGAGTTCTTTTTCTTTTTTTGGCTGGAAAGAGGGACTCGCTTTCAGCTACCAAGGCGAAAAAAAACCTCTGACCAATTTTTCTGGTTTCCCTGTTGTGGTGTTTGCCTAGGCCCCCCAGCTAGGTGCCCTTTTACCGTTTCTCTTTTTTGGCGGGGAGGGTTCCCCTACTCAACTAGACTACAGAAAAAAGGGTCCAAGTTGTTTCGTGGTTGAGAGGGGGCTAGCCCTTAATTCGTGGTTTGGATGGGATCTGGAGCCCAGTAGCTTTGAAAACCAAATGAGGGAGGTAGCCCCTAGCGTCCAAACCACCAAACCAAACCACCAATTAGTGGAAAGCTGACAGTTGCCCAAAGAGAATCGACCTGATCTGAAATAATTTCAGTTTGAAAGAGCCAACTCGGGGAGTTTTCCCTTGATGATGGACCAAACAAAATGCTGCCAATCGCTCCCCCCCTCTCCCGGAAAGGCGGGTATTCTGTAAGAACCAACGCAAGCTGTTTTGTTTGTCCGGTTTCATTTTAAAGATGGGCCCATAAAACACACACCCACGCACAATGTGCTTTTCTCCTTTGGATGGTTTTGGACGAAACACCGAAAGGAAACCACTCATTTCAGGTGTTCAACTCCTAAAGGTGTTGAGCAAACAACATCATTTAGTGAAAAAACAAAAACAACACCGCAGACTAAGACACGCTTTCCTCCGGCCGAAAAACAAAAAGGAAGAAACAAAACAACAACAGCATCAGAAGCAACGCAAGCTGTTTTGTTTGTCCGGTTTCATTTTAAAGATGGGCCCATAAAACACACACCCACGCACAATGTGCTTTTCTCCTTTGGATGGTTTTGGACGAAACACCGAAAGGAAACCACTCATTTCAGGTGTTCAACTCCTAAAGGTGTTGAGCAAACAACATCATTTAGTGAAAAAACAAAAACAACACCGCAGACTAAGACACGCTTTCCTCCGGCCGAAAAACAAAAAGGAAGAAACAAAAAGCAACAACAGCATCAGAAGCAACGCAAGCTGTTTTGATTGTCCGGTTTCATTTTAAAGATGGGCCCATAAAACACACACCCACGCACAATGTGCTTTTCTCCTTTGGATGGTTTTGGACGAAACACCGAAAGGAAACCACTCATTTCAGGTGTTCAACTCCTAAAGGTGTTGAGCAAACAACATCATTTAGTGAAAAAACAAAAACAACACCGCAGACTAAGACACGCTTTCCTCCGGCCGAAAAACAAAAAGGAAGAAACAAAACAACAACAGCATCAGAAGCAACGCAAGCTGTTTTGTTTGTCCGGTTTCATTTTAAAGATGGGCCCATAAAACACACACCCACGCACAATGTGCTTTTCTCCTTTGGATGGTTTTGGACGAAACACCGAAAGGAAACCACTCATTTCAGGTGTTCAACTCCTAAAGGTGTTGAGCAAACAACATCATTTAGTGAAAAAACAAAAACAACACCGCAGACTAAGACACGCTTTCCTCCGGCCGAAAAACAAAAAGGAAGAAACAAAAAGCAACAACAGCATCAGAAGCAACGCAAGCTGTTTTGATTGTCCGGTTTCATTTTAAAGATGGGCCCATAAAACACACACCCACGCACAATGTGCTTTTCTCCTTTGGATGGTTTTGGACGAAACACCGAAAGGAAACCACTCATTTCAGGTGTTCAACTCCTAAAGGTGTTGAGCAAACAACATCATTTAGTGAAAAAACAAAAACAACACCGCAGACTAAGACACGCTTTCCTCCGGCCGAAAAAACAATTGGGGAAGAAACAAAAGCAACAACAGCATCAGAAGCAACGCAAGCTGTTTTGATTGTCCGGTTTCATTTTAAAGATGGGCCCATAAACACACGCCCACGCACAATGTGCTTTTTCTCCTTGGATGGTTTTGGACGAAACACCCAAAGGAAACCACTATTTTCAGGTGTTCAACTCCTAAAGGAAGAGCAAACAACATCATTTAGTGAAAAAACAAAAACAACACCGCAGACTAAGACACGCTTCCTCCGGCCGAAAAACAACAAGGAAGAAACAAAAAGCAACAACAGCATCAGAAGCAACGCAAGCTGTTTTGATTGTCCGGTTTCATTTTAAAGATGGGCCCATAAAACACACACCCACGCACAATGTGCTTTTCTCCTTTGGATGGTTTTGGACGAAACACCGAAAGGAAACCACTCATTTCAGGTGTTCAACTCCTAAAGGTGTTGAGCAAACAACATCATTTAGTGAAAAAACAAAAACAACACCGCAGACTAAGACACGCTTTCCTCCGGCCGAAAAACAAAAAGGAAGAAACAAAAAGCAACAACAGCATCAGAAGCAACGCAAGCTGTTTTGATTGTCCGGTTTCATTTTAAAGATGGGCCCATAAAACACACCCCCACGCACAATGTGCTTTTCTCCTTTGGATGGTTTTGGACGAAACACCGAAAGGAAACCACTCATTTCAGGTGTTCAACTCCTAAAGGTGTTGAGCAAACAACATCCCTTAAGCATCCAGCCCCCCGCCAAAACAAGGTGGTGTATTACACCACCCGCCTTTTGCAGGTCGTTGTAATGTGTTGTGTCGTGCCCCCCCGTTTGAGGCACCTCATGTTTCGGCCATTTCGTAGCCCCAAAAAGTTTCAGACCAAAATCAAGCAATTTCATGTTGCCTTTCAGCCCGTTGTTCTTAAGCGCCGGGCCGTGGAATCTGCTGTTTTTCTCCGCATCCAGCATGCGCCCTAACTAGTGTTTTCTCAACTGCCAGGATCCTAAAACATCCACAGATTAGCCAAATTTGGGAATCTTCATTTGCTGTTGTTAAGGTCTGGTGGCCCTTTTCCCTTTCAGACATTTGTGGCCATTCATTCCCTCAATCAAGGGGGCATGTGCTTTGCAGGTGTTGCAGGTGTTCGGGGGGCAGTGCTTTTCAGGGCATCTGGAAGGTAAAGGTGCAGACAACAGGCTTCAGGCATCGCCCACCCAAAACAAGCTAAAGGCGCGGCATGGCCAGATCCAGACTCCTGAGCCGCCTGGACCCTGAAAATCAATATCAGGCCAAATGTGGGAACATCCATCTGTTCTCTTTTGGGGTCTCTGGTGGCCCATTCCCCTCCAGAAGAAGCTTTGTGGCCATTCCCTCGGATATATGTAAAGGGGGGGGAGGATAAGGGTCGAACGGCAGGCTTCAGTTGAAAGTTTGGTGCACCGGTTCGGCCTCGCACCGCTAACGAGCCAGCCAGCCACCTACCACTGGTTGACAGCCCCCAACCCCGGCCTGCAGCCACTTCCAAACCACAGCTGGCTTTTTGGTCATGTGCTTTCAGAAAAGTGTCCAGTTTCCAGGGTCCCTGCAGTTTGGCTCATGCCATTAAAGTTTGGCTCAAGTTGTTTGCTCAAGCGACGATTGCTCAGAGGATGGTTTTCAAAGGGTCACTGCAGGCGAGGCTTGGTGACATGCAGGCGCGCCCATCGAAGCTTGGCCGCTTTGAGCCTGTAGGCACCCCTCTTGAGAACCGAGTTCTCAAAGGTCCGAGGGCTCACACGCAGACCAACGGTCCGAAGCCACCACATGGAGTCCTCATCCACGAAGCCGTGCACGAAGCGCTGGTTGAAGCGGTGCCTCTTCACCCGATGCAGCATCTCCCAGAATTGGTGGAACTTCGGCTTCAGCAGCCACCACTTTCTGCCATGCCTGGCAGGGGACAGCGCAACCGATTTCCCGAAGATGACAAGGCCATTCGGTGTTGTCTTGCAGGTTTGGAAGGGTGAAGCAAATTGTCATTCCAGGGCCTACCAGGCCAAGGGTCAGCGCAGGGACAAAAACCTGAAGCAACCGTATTCTCGAGCAAAGATGCAACGAGACAATGTAGAAGCCAGGCCTCAAGGATTCACCGCACAGCAGCCGGTGCATCTCCAAGAAGCGCTTGCCAGATTCAAACATCTTGCCAGCGAGCACCCGCATCCTCAGATGGCAAGACCCTCACGCAAGCCAGCTCAACACAGAAGCAAGCTGACATGCTGCAAGGCTCTGAAAGCTCACATCCATGCCCTGCTGCGAAGGCAGCACAAGGTATATTGAATGCCAAGACTCTGTGGCCCTCGAGAGTCAGCCAGAAACCGCGGGCAGCGCTCGGAGATGTTGAAGTACTGGCAAATGCTGCTCCTTGGCAAGGGCACCTCCCATTCCGTTTCACAGCAACACATCGTGGCTAATTCGGTGAAAGAGGCCTAGGGGGGCCACAGCAACACAGGTAGTAGGATCTCATAGAAGTCATAGAAGAGTTCCATTGGCACACAGCTGCACGACTGGTGCAACAAAACAACTTTAACACACGATGGATTGGCCAAGCCGGGAAGATGTCACACAAAGATGGTAGCCCCACTGCTACCAGCAAATCGGAGTGGCGATGGGACAAATGCTAATGGGCTTGATGTGGAATGCGATGCAGGCAAGTGTCATTGCCACCAGGGTGGGCAGCAGGAAGC